CCCCGCGCTCTCCTTGAGCGTGGGCCCCGGACACACACTCACTTCGCGGGAGCCGGTGACCGACGTGCTGTAGACACGCAGACCACTCATGCTGCGGGTGGACTGATGGACAGGCGGCGGTAAAAGAAGCTGCACGGCCTGGAGACGACGCCGCTGCTCTCGGAAGCGGTTTCCTTCCTGCTCAGCCCGCGAGTCACCGCTCTCGGGACCAATGGGAGGCGCGGGCAGGGGCGGGGGCTAGGGGCGGGGTCTACACTACCCCGCCCAGCACACAAATCCCCTCCCCTCCCCCTCGGGTCCTGGCGCGCAAAGGACCTCAGTCCCATGCAGGGCAGCGCCCTTGGGCCCTTCTCTTTTCTGGGTTCACAATGTAAGGCTGGGAAGGGTCCCGGTAGCAAGAAAGGCAGGGGCGAGGGTTTGGCAAAGGCTGCTGCCTCAACCTTGCCCGAGTTTGCCGCACCCAACCACCCACCCCCAGTGCCACGACAGCGCAGCTCAGCTGCAGGCGTTAAAGGCTGTTTTCAAACCTAAAGCTCCTAAGCGAGGGAACTTCGTTCCAAGGGACCCTTCCCCATAGTCCCCTGGGGGATACCCACACATGGCTAGCCCATCAAGATAGGAGGCACACCAATGCACAGATAGCCCCTGCTTAGAGATTTTCTCCGAAGTTCCTCTCCACTCAGGCAGGTTTAGGCAAGGAAGGGTGGTGGCAGGAGACAGGGCCACACCCTCAAGAAGCCAGATGGAGGCCAAGATAAGAGGCTGTTAGCTCTGGAAAGGATGGAGGCAGAGGTCGGTGTCAGGACTTCTTGTTAAAGATCTACAGCTGGTCTTGGGGTGGCTCCAAATTAACCCCAATTCCAGGTAGCAGATGGCACTCCAAAACCACTCCTACTAGTACCCAGCAAAAATTCAGGGGACTCAGAGAGAGCAGACTCCAGCAACCAGCTCAACTTTGGAGACTCTGCTCTCTCTGGGTTTGGACATGATGCCCCTCAGAAGTTGCCCCAAGTCCAGGGCTTAGAGAGTGGCCCAGAAAGACCACCTTAGCCTCTTGAAGCAAACAGTGCTACCTCGCACTGGGCATGGGCAAGCAAGCCACATCCTCACGGCAACCCAGAAGCAGCTGACTTCCTCTTAGAGGATTACTGAAACTCTTCAATGACAAATTTGTTCTATGACTTGGCAGCTTCACTCAATATAAAGTTGTATGGGAAGAGATCTTATTTACCCCCACTGAACAAGAGGAGCAGAAGTGGTATAGACATGAAATTGAACCTGCCAAAAGTCCCTCCTTGTTGTTGTCTGGCGAACTTGGCTAAACACCCAGGCTTTGGCTTCATCAACTCAAAATGAGGGGTGGAGTAGGGTGGTGACAGAAGGCAATGGAAAACTGAAGTCTGTTAAATTTTTATTTTGTAATCAAAATAGGCAATACAAACCAGTTGACATAACAAGAATTCATATAAATAACTGCTTATAAACTTTAGAGGAAAAATACCCGTGAGCATGGTGGCTGGGCTCCCAACACAGGGTGGAGACCAACCAGGCAGCTCTGCTTTTAGGAGGCAGGAGCCCAGAGGCTGAGGGGGTGATGGTTGGGTGGGGCTGCTCTGAATGGAAGGAATAAGTCACTCCATAAATAAAACACACTTGTAAAAACACTTAAGGAGTCTCATTCAGGCCCAGGACTGAGGTCCAGGATGTTGCCCTGAAAGCCAAAGCTTAGCAAGAATCTCGTGGTGGCTGAGTCTGGGCTCCTGAACTGCGCAGTGCTCCCTCACAGCCACACACAGCCTGGCTTGGCTCCAGATCTAGAGGTCTGGGGCCAGCCCAGCAACCAGATACAAACAACTGTGAGAGGTTCCCTAATCGAGGAGGCAAGAAAAATCAGAAAGCAAAGGGTCAAAAGGCCCCAGAGAAACAAAAAAAACCCCAGAAAACACTGAAAGATATGCCTTAAAAGCTGACCTGTACTGGGTACTCTGAAATCTCAAGGAGCCCAGATCAGGAAAAGGAAAGGACCCCCATCTCCAAACACAAGAGAGGCACAAATCAGAGGGCTGGGCACCAGCACCAGCCCTGGGGACGGGGTGAGCAGCTTGAGTTGCCCTGTGGTATTCTGGGGGAAAATCCTGCCCAAACCCAGAACCATAGAAAAGAGTTTGCATTCAAAGTCCGAGAAGGAGGCTATCTGGACAGCCTGAGAACAAAGGAGAAGGCGGCTATGCTAACCACATGGCCAGGGCCCCAAGGGTACAGGGCAGGTGGAATGGGGTCTCCTATAAAATGGCATGGCAGCACAGTTGAAAGAGCCCTGGCTATAATCCCTAGGCCACCAATTCTAGTGAGTACTTTGCTAATGAGTAGATCACCGTGAGGCGTCTGTGTGAATAAGAGCCCTGAGGAAGAAGCAAAGCAGTGGGACTGGGCCTAAGTAAACCCAGAAAGCCAGTTCAGCTCCCAGGAAGACTGGCACATGGGGCCCAGGAATTCTCAAATGCCATTATTACTGGCCTTTCCAGGACCCTTTAATGAATTCTGGGCATCAGCAGAACCAAGGTATGGAGTGGGAATGAATGTGAATCCATCCCAAAGGATGGAGAAAGGAAGTGAGCAGCCTGTCTCTGACATCAGCTGGGAACAGTCTGTGAGGACTTATCAGGTGACCTGAAAAAGTTAATTAGTAACTCACCCTCAAAGGACGAATCAGGATGACAGAACCAATGCAATCCAACAAGGCAAAGCCAGTGTGGAGCAAGGTAGGCAGTTTCCTAGTCAGCCCTTGGCCCCAGATGCAGGCTCTTACCTCCCTTCTACCCCTTCTCTCTGGGAATAGCAGCAAACAAAAGGCAAGAGACTGTCAGGGCAGGGCCTGCTGGACCAGATCCTCCCTCGGGGAATATAGCATGTCCCATGCCTAGCATTCCTTACTGTGTGACACAGTTTTCTCCCATATCCTGGGCATATCTGTCTGACATGGTGGTCCGTAAATCCTCGATGTCATGACGCAGTTGTTGAACCTCTTCTAGTTTCCTCCTGATCACATCTGGCTTCTGCAAATCTAGCGGAGTCCCTGGGTGCTGAGAAGCTGGGAAGGAGAGCATTTCGAAAGAATGTTATAAATCAGGAGATGCTACTATGTAGAAGGGGCAGTAAGCACCTTGAGGCCCATGGTCCTGAGACACAGCACTTCCAAAAAAGCAGCTGGGGATGGTGGGCTGAAAACTTGCTGCCTAAGGGCCACATTTTGTCTGTCCTGTACCCAGGCACCCCATAGGGATGCCTATTCCCAAAACAGATTTACTGAACATCTACTTTTTGAAACACATAACTCCCAGAGAGCAGTGACCAGGCCTCCATAGCCCTGGTCACCCATTACCATAAATATGGGGAAGGTGGATGGGGGTGAGAGAGAAACAAAAGCCACACTCTCCTGGGTCCCAGACTGGCCTGAGGACTCACAGTGAATGCCAAGGAGCAGGGAGAGATTGGGATCATGGCCCTGCGCCCTTTGGGTCACAATGCTACAGACGGCCTGCAGATCTTGAAGACAATTGGCCAACTCCTGGTGCAGTTCAGATGCCAGCTGGGCTGTGTCTGATGAAGATGGGAACCCTGGTTGAGCCTGGCGCAGGTGTTCCTGGAGTGTCAGATTCTTCTCAATCAGGTTCTGGTTCTGTGCTGAAAGCTGAGTGGAGAGATGAGCAAGCACATTAACCCAGACCCAGGGAAAGGCAAGAGTATCTGTATCTGAGTGCGCTTATATGTTTATTTGTGTGTGCAGGGGAGGCTATAAGTCACAGGCTTAACATTGCCACCCCCTCTTAGTATCAGGCCTAGTTCCTCCTGCAGGTAGGCTAGGCCACAGGGCTTCCGCACTGAGGAGGAAACTGCTGCCCAGCAGACTCTGAGTCATCAGCCTCCAGGTTTCTGTTTAGGAATCAGAGATGATACTCCCGCCCCTCGGAACTCTATCTGAAGCCAGTCCCTCAGCCAACTCTGTTAGCCAGGCTATTAGAGAAGGCTTAACGTGAACCGTGAAATCTGAGGAGACACTGGTTTCAATCTCTCCCTGCCACCCTGACAAAAGTGGCCACCAGCCAGCCTGATCAGAGTCTGTTAGAGAAATAAAGGAAACAATGAAAACATGACAGCTAGTGGCCTCTGGAGGGGTGGGCTGGAGCCAGACAGAGGACATTAGGCCGAGGGGAAAATCCGTCAGACGGAGGAAGAGAAATACCATAGGATTTCACCGATGTGAGGGCATCTAAGGAACGAAAAGAACAGACGTTAGCAAAAACGGGCAGGCACACGAAGACGGAGGACGAAGTTGGGGACGGCTCCCTACCCTCAATTCTGTTTTATAAACATAAAATAGAGTTCCTTCTCTAGTACTAGGCCTTCACTCACACTGGGTCTTGTGACAATCCTAGTTCTGGGAGGTTCCTTCCTAAACTCTTGGCCAGTGAACTGGGTCGCCCCCTGCTGACAGCTCTGTTTACTGCATGAAGACCACCAAACATCTGTCTTCTTGAACCCCTCCCTCCCCAACCCCACAAATCTGTGGCTGCAGCAAGACAAAAAGAGAGAAAAAGACTTTCCACGCCCAAAAAGCACTCCTGGGTCATTATGGCCACTCTAAGACAGGCTTGGGATCTTTAAAATAATGGATGATGCAATGTTCTTTCCTATTCTTCTGCTGAAAAAGCTCAGCGGGGACCTCAAACATGAGGGCTTTTGTGGGAGAAGGGACACCAGAGAAAGAGTACCAAGAGGCCTAGGTGTGTTGCTAACCTCTTTCACAGCTGTGCGAAGCTGCTGCAGGGCTGTCTCCCTCCGCTGGGCCTCTTCTTTTAGGGCCTGGCTTGTTCCTTCTTCTTGAGCCACTTCCTGCTCTAGGCTCTGAATTCCACAGCAAAGAGTGGTGGGAGCACACACCAGGGGTAACAAGTTCAGACCATATCACTTTCGGCCTGGACTCTACACTAAAGCCCCATCCTGCCCAGACTGCTACTTAGAGATTATTTAACAACAGTCCTGACTGAAACCCTCCTATAGTCCCTGACCATGTATTAAACAGAGGCCAGTTCCTCAGTAGAATGATCCAGGCCAGTCTGGCCCTTACCTACTTTTCTAGTCATACCTTTTTTTAACCCTCCACACGACCTCCACTCCAGCCACATCGAATAACTAGCCGTCATCCCCAAAGGCTCCAGCTCTTATACTGTTGCTCACTCTTCTCCTTTACCCAGACTTCTCTTCAGCTCAGGAAACCCCCAAGGCCCGCCTGAGCTTTCCTCAATCTGCAAATTGGATTCAGTTAATCCTAATCTGGCCCTGCTACTCATACTTCCATCAGAGCTCAGGCGTAAATTTGCGGGTTGTGCACATGATTCCCCCCTCCAGTAGACCATACCTTTCTTGAGGGCAGAGAACATCTATTTAGTTGAGTTCAATATTTATTGAGCACTTACTGTGATAGGGACTGAGGCTACTAAAAAAAATACCAGTCTTTAAGGAGCTCACAGCCCAAGCCCTTGATAATACTGTTTTAAATACTTTTGACAAAGGGGTAGGAGAGCACTCCCACAGGCACTAAATCTAGTTAGTAACGTGTATGCATGTGCGTGTAGGGGTAGACAAGGGGAGAGATTTATATTTGTTGTCTTTTACCTCTCATTCTATCCATTTCAATTTCTCCCCAATTTCATAAGTGATTTGAACAAATTAAGTCTAAAAAATATTTCTGTAATTGAAAAAAATTTGATTAGTTTGTTCTTTTTTTGTTCTTTAGATTAAAAACAGACTCACAAATATAGAGGGCAATCTGGTGATGGCCAGAGGGGAGAGGGGTTGGGGGGCTGGGAGAAAAGGGTGAAGGGTTAAAGAAGTACATATTAGTAATTTATAGATGAGCATGGCACAGGGAATGCAGTCAGCATTAATGTAATGGCTAGGTGTAGAGCCAGAGGAGAGAAAAAGCAATCAAGGGGATCGTTTCATAAACTATGTAAATGTCTAACCAATGTACTGTGTAGTTGAAACTAGTAATAAAATAAAATTTAAAATTCAAAATAAAATTTTTTCCCTGAATTTCCCCATTTTGTATTAATAAAAAATATAACTTTCAAAGAGAACATCTCATCACCACGAAATACTCAAGGCAACAACCATTATGAATCCATCTAATTCCAGCAAAGTCTCCTGACAATTTGCTTGACCACGGCTAAATGTACCATTTAAAATGTTGGGCTTTTTCAACCTTTGTGGAACCTCAGTGTTCCAGAAAACATACTTTGAGATCCATTAAAAACTCTACTAAAAACCTGGAATTTTAAAAGGGTATAAATGTTCACTAGGCTTGACTATATTCTAACAGGACTTGGAATAGGTAAACTAAATAGATACTGCCCAACCCACGTAATGGTAAAGGCAGGATTGCAGCTTTTGTTGCTCCCCAGAATCAGTGCATTTTACCTGTTTTGGTGTAAAACTTCTTTTAAAGTCCAAAGAGAACCTGAGTGAACCTGCTTTACCTAGGATTTCTTGGAGAATTCAATTAAGGACACTCCCACTCTGGCCCAAAATAGAAACCAGGACTTATCTTTGATTTTTCCTTATTCTTCAACCTCTTATATTCTGTTAGTCACTGATTCCTCTCAATTTTGCCTCCCAAAAGTCACTTAAATCTGTCCCCTCACATCTCCTCCTTGCTATGCTGCCTTATGCCAGGTTCCTGCATTATCTCTTACTAGGATTTCTGCAACAATCCACTGGCTTCCAGCCCTGCCTCTCTCCAAGTACCAATCTTGCACACTCAAGCCTGAGCTGCAAACCTGACTATATATAACACACTCCAATTAAATGCTATATAAATTCCCATCACCTATCTAAAAAATAAAAGCTAACTTAATTGGGAAGACAAAGCCCTCTCATAGCCCAGTTCTCCATTCACCACCTTACTTCAATATCAAACTGCTTACAGCTCCATGTGCAAACTCTACTGTTTCATGCCTCCATGTTCCTACCCATACTGATCCTCTAGCTGGAATTCCAATACCATCCTATCCAGCTGCACTTCTTTGCCTAACTCTTCTTCCCACTTTAGGGGTAATGACCTTCAGAAACCCTTCCTTGACTTCTCCCTCTCTCACTTTCTATGCTCCCACACGGTAATATGGACATTGTTCTCAGAGTACTGTGCTAAGACCCCTTCTCAACAAGACTGCACTTTAAAAGCACTGATTGGGTCTCATCCTCGTATTCCTAACACTGAGCAAAATTGCATGGCAGAAAACAACAATGTTGGCTGAATTCTAGAGATTCCATTATTAAGTCCTGCCCACCATGTCCCAAGGACTCCAGTTCACCTGTACTTGTGAACGCAACTGATCCATCTTCTGCTGTTGCTTTTCCACAATCTGAAAGGCAAAGTTATCAAGGAAGGCTGTAAGCAAAGGCTGATGATATAGTAGGAGGCAAGAGGGCAAGAGGCTACATTAGGGTCTGTGGTCTGGCTATTAGCCCCACTGGTTACAGCCAGTTAATAGTGAGACCAGGGTGAAGACATGTTAGCTCTACCTACAGAAATATAACCCAGATTCCCTAGCCTGACTAACTAGCTTCAGACTCTTGTGCTCCAGGCACAAAAAAGCATATAGTCATAAAAAGGAATATAGTGTGGACTTATAACCACTACTGGGTGTGGGGTGGAAAAGACAGATCAGTGGAATTAACATTATATATAGCAAGCATACATTCCGGTTCTTTGGTAAAGGACATTACTAAAAATTCAGTTTAATGAAGCCTGCCCTGTCTAGGGCTGTGATGGTTGTTACTTATAGCTTTTGTCACACTGACTGTGCAAGGAGAGGACCTGAACAGGCTCAGTTTCCTGTCCTTTGAGACCTTAGGTAGTCTCTGAACCTTTTCTGGGTCTTCTTTTTTGCTGACCTATGATCAGCAGGCCCTGGGCTCCTCTTTCTCTGCTGAATCAGGGCCATCTCACTGGTTAGAACTCTGCCCACTGCAGAGGTTCAGTACGAGGTCTGAGCCATGAATGAAGTGCACCAAGCTTCAGTGCACCAATTTGGAGCATCTAGTCTGGATGGTCAGAGGCATGTCCTCCCCTCACTTTGCTTGCCGGTTGTAAGGATGAATAACTAATATACAAACTTACTATGAAGGGGTGACTTTTTGAAAAAAGAGAGAAAAGTAATGGGTAACAGATCCTAGGTGGCCCAGGACCAGAAATTCATGCTTCCTTCCCCATACACAATCTGCTCTTTCCTCTCAGCCTACCCCGTTACAGCCTGGATATCCTCAGTCACCTTTCGGAGAGAATCACATTCCTTCTGCCAGGACTCCATTTCCACTTTTGGACCTTCTTCATGTTGGACCAGACCTTCTCCATTGGCTTCCACACACTGCTTATCTTGCAGGCTGAAAAACAGTGTCCTCTTCAGGAACTCTAAAGTCAGAGAGATGTGGCTCTGACTCCTGATTCTGCTACTTATTTTTTAGGGAAATACACTTAGGCCCTTCTGAGCCATAGCTGAGGCTATGTGTTAATGTGTTAGTTCTGTTATAATGTAGGTTATGCCACACAGAAGTTCCCTTCCCTAGAGGCCAACATCTATATGATGGCCACTGTTCAAAGCTCTTGTTTTGAGCATTGTTTTGATATCTGAAAAAAATAAACATCACATGTATTTAGACTATAGAAGTCATACATGTATACTGTAGAAATTTTGGAAAATTTTTCTTGGCACACGTAGTTTGGGGCAGAGTCAACTTTGTCCCTTAACCTTGCTCTGACTCCAACCAATGGTCTCCTCCAACTGATCCCCACAATCACTTTCACCACAGTCCATCTGCTAAGTTAAATAACAGGGTCATTTGGTTGAATGGGATGAGAAATCTAATCCGTCCCAGTAGAAACTGGATTTGGTCCAAGAGACTGCTGAAACAACCATCACATTTTCAGAAAATGCTATTAATATGGAAGAAGCTCCCAAGACAACCTGAAAGTACATTATGGCATCTTGTTTTGTTCTCAGAACCTGTTGTGGCAATTGAGAGCAATTCTTAGGGCTGAGGAAAAAGAGATGCTCTTGGTAGCCTTTAGCTTACAAGGCTCAAAATGTGGATAACCCCCGGTTCCCAGCACCAGGATCTACTTCTGCAAATATACAGATAACTCAGAAGTAAAGTGATTTGCCCAAACTTACACAGGGAGTAAGTGGGGTAGCCGGGACCAGAACCTAGCACTCCACTCCTTTCCTCAACCCCACAGGGATATTTACCTATGTCTAGTGGAGGAGAATGCTGCTTCTCTCTGTCTCACACTTTCCAGTTGAACCTCCTTCTCTCTGCAGGCTGCCCGTGTCTCCTCCAGCAAATTCTCCAGTTCACTCACTCTCTCCTGCAGCTCTGTGCTCTTCAACTCAGAGTCCTTAAGCTGAGAGACAGGATGCCATGCTTAGGTCAACCCAGACTGTCTGGGTATTTCAAACAATTTGCAGTCTAGTTGTAAATTTGACGGATGTGAGTCTGGACATGACTCTTTTGGGATTTTCCTTTCAGGAAACCATGGGGGTAACCGCATACAGCAGAGGCTGAGAAAGTCCCCTGGCTTGGCTACTCCCTGCTTGCCCAGGGAATGCCCTGACATTGCACTACCTGCTGGCTCTGCTTCTGATGGTCTTCCAGGGTGGGAAGGTCAGCTAGGTAGCGCTCCAAGGTCTCAATACGCTGCTGCTTCTCCCGATTTTGCTCTGATTCCTTCTGACATTTCTTTTTCAAATTATTGATATGTTTATCACGACCCTTGACCTAAGGAACAAATGTCAAGAATTTGTCTCCATTTGACTTCTCTAGAACCCTGAACATCAACTTTTTTCAAACAGACCCCTGTCCATAAGGCTGTAAATATTGTTCTACTGCAATGAAGGCAAGAAGCTGATCAAATTTTGCCATTTGAGATTAGGGCATAAATTGCAGAGTTAACACACCTGGACTTTCCAATCAAGGGCAAAGAATAAGGGCCCCCTGGGCAGTTTTTAAAAAGTGCCCAAGCACTTCTACATAATAAAAAATTTGTTTGGCCTTTGTCCCAGGTTCCTGGGAGGTAACTTCTAAACTCTTAGAATTATCCAAATAATAGAGGAAATCTATTCTCTCCTTCCCTCTGCTATTCATATTGCTACAGAGCCCACCATTTATGCTAATGAGATTACTCAGAATGGGGGATGGTCACTAAAGACCAAAGGAATTGAGCTCATCTTCCTGTAAGGGGGTGGGGCAGTTGTTCAATCATGCCTACATAACAAAACGCCCAATAAAAACTCTGGCTACTGAAGTTCAGTAGAGATCCCTGGTTGGTGAACACATGGATGTGCTAGGAAGGTGACATGCCCTGATTCTATGAGGAGAAGGCAGAGTGTCTGCTTTAATGAGCTTGCCCTATTTGTCTCTTCATTTGGCTGGCCCTGATTTGTCTCCTTTATAATAAAACTGTAACCCCAAATATAGCACTTTTCTGAGTTGTTCTGGCAAACTAGTAAACTTGAAGGGTTCATGGGAACCCCTGGATTTGTAGCCAGTTGATCACGAATATGGGTGGCTTAGGGAACCCAGAACTTGCAGTTGGCATCTGAAGTAAGAGCAGTCTTATTGAGGGCTATGCCCTTAAAACTGTGGAGGCTAACGCTAACTCTGGGTAGTCTGCATCAGAACTGAGTTGCAGAAGTATATTCAACTTCCCCGCATACATATAACCAATCTGGTCTGTTCTGGTTAAGAGGCAATGCATTTCTCCCTAAATATCACACATGATATAAAGCTAAGCAATCATCTGGAAGGGCTAATGAGACTGTAAACTCATTGACAGGAGGGGCTGTGTCCATTTTTCCCATTATCATATCCCCAACACATAGAACAATGGTCGGCACAAGTTAAAATTTGGAAAACAATGTGCCCATCACAACCTCCAAGAACCTCTGTACTCAAGGCACCAGTTACCTCTGAATCAGGTTATTAGCCATAGACCTGAAAAATAGGAGGATTTGCTTAAAGTCTATATATAGGCTAGCTGGATACCATCTTCATCCTAGGTTTCCCCAACAGGGGACTGGAGATTCATTCTCTGTAGAAATCAAAGAGTGATTCCAGATTCAGGTAGAGGGAGAGTGAAGCACTGAGTTGAAAATAAATAAAAAAATCTATGTACAGAAATATAGGGCTGAACCTAATCTCCTCAGTGTTGAGAACCTAAAGGTCAAAAGCATT